AAAAATCATTAATTATGCGACTTAGTATTCAAAATTTTTTGAATATCATGGTTCCCTTATGATTCACGTTGAAGTTTATGACTTTCTCAGTTTCTTGTCCTTAAATTTTTACAATCATTTTTCAACATTTACACGAACCTTTCATTTCTTTTTTTTGAGAAAAGCTTCGCATTCGTCTTCTCGCGGGGGGGGGGGGTGCTTTTAAGAGCTAACTATCTAAACGTGGCGCGCGAGTTACAAGTCAATAATGTGCATAAAATATGTAGAAAAAACTATTAAAAACAATCAAGGGACCTTGACATCAAACTTTTCTGAAAGCTGGTTTTCTTCAAAGATGGTCTTGAATTTTTTTTTGTAGCAAGTTAATGGCGCTATAGTTTGATTAGCACTATTCAACAGATTTTCTTACCTCTCAATGTAAGTGCTGTTTATCGCCTAGAAAACATTCACATCTATCTCTTTGCACGAGATTCTTCAAGCTTCTAGGCGACTGTTTCCTTGGTCTAGGTGTGTGATGTGCAAACTCACCACATGTCAGTAGCGATGCGTAGACTGTAGAAAAATCAAAAACAGATGAGCACTCTATTTTAATTTTTTTCAAAGCCAGCTTTCACCTCAGTTTGAAATTTTGTCTTTGTCTTGTGTTTATTTTTAGTATGCGATTTGCTTACTTTAGTCTATTGTCTTCAAATGTTTATGTTCATTTTGAACTTCTTATCCCGTTCTTCAAAGCCTTGTTTACCCTTTAAAAAAACTTTCAGATTTTTCTTTCGTAAATATATTTTTGAGGCGTTATCGTTGGATATTTGCATTGTGCAAGCTCACCATAAGTCAGCGATGTTGCTCTGCAAAAAAATTTGTAAAATATCAATTATACAAGCACTCAGTAGCTGGCTTCTAAAGAAATTTTTTACTTTTCATTATTTGATTTCTGAACAAGTCCCAGTCACCAACATATAGTAATATGATATTTTGACATCTTCTACCACCCCTTTCTTTGTTTTTATATTCGACAAACAAGTGTAACTTTGTACACTCTGGAACACTATATTTTGCCAGAAAAAGCACATCTCTTTTCTGAAGTTCAAAAGAATCCCCCTTTGTCTTTTGTTACGTTCAGAAACAAGTGTAATTAAGCAAAAAAATTGTGCAATTCATCCTTTTTCGACAAGACCCGATACTTTAGCAAACTATTGACTGCTCGCGTTTTTTCGCGGGTTTCTCGAGAGTTTTGAGAGCTGGTTTCATGTCGCCACATTGTTGGAGGTCTTGAACAAACACAAAGTGCCAGGGCCATCTCGAAAAAAAGGGTTGAAATTGCTACCTTTGGCGGCTGATGACATCGTACAAAGGTACAACGTTGACGACATTAAAACTTTTAAGTTCAAGCCGAGGTTACTGTATCCTGTCATTTTGCTCTTTATTGCTATCTAAGCTTACCTTTTCAGATCATCAGCTTGTTGAGCATATACGGCGCAAACTTTTTTCTCAACAGAAATTGCCTTTTACCTTTGAAATTTCCAAAAAAATGTTCCCTAGGGAACGGATTTTCTAAATATGACTACACTATGTTTGTATCGGGTCTCGCTCCCTTTTCCACTTCCTTTACCTTTTCTCTTATCCCCTTTTTCACAAGACTTAATTTGAATATCAAAGTTTCTGAGTCAATGAAATGCATCGACCTCAAAGATAGAAAACATTAGTTGCTTTTTTTTTCTGCAAAAATTATTTAGCGGGAAAAAATTGAGAGTTCTGAAGTAAAACAACTTCACGAGTACTGGTGAATCAGACTAAATTGGGCTTTTTGTTAAATGCGGATTTGCCCTATAAAAAATTATAGACTACGTGTACTTAGTCGAATGATCCTACCGTAATCCTACAATATCCTACAGCACTATAGTTGCGCAGCTATAAATTTGTAGGCATTGAGAGTGTAACCATGTTTGAGATTATCTGCTAAACCAGTTGAATATTTCCACACAGTTTTTTTATTCAAAATTTTTCGAATTTTTCTAGCTCGTTTGGGTGTTCCTAGATAATCGTTGATACTACCATGGTTATTCTTCAATTCATTTTGAACGATGTTCCATACATAATCATAGCGGAAAACGCGAGACAATCTACCGTAATCCTACAGTAATGGCATGTCGCTGAATTTTCTGATGTCCTTTGTGTCAACGCTAAATATCTGTAGTCTCCAGCAGCTGGGGTTTTTAGGATTGGCCTTAGGGGCCAGTCATACTTCGCCGAGAAAAAGCCCAAAAGCACCCAAAAAGCCCAAAAAAGCCTGAAAGCTTTTGGTAGAACTCTGACATTATTTTGATGTGCAAAGTAGAAAATGAAGCAAAAGGGCTTGGTTTCGAGATCAACACATATGCCCTAACGCCAAAACATGCGCGCGAAAGGAGGCGTCCTGGCTATTTCTGGCACTTTTGGGCGCTTTAGGCTATCGGCCACGGACCTTTTTTCGGGTCCCTCAAACAACCAAGCGTTTTTTTTTTGGAAAAAAAACTCTACCCACTAGTTCTGAATAAGAATCACGGTTGTTTCAGACTTTAGGTCTTCCAATAAATTCGTGACTGTATTAGAAATTTCTAGTCTTACTAGAAATCCCTCTAAGCTTGTAGGGGCATTAAAATATTTATTTCATGAAAAATACGAGAAAATCCACTTGCGGTCCGGTTCAAGTTCAAGCTCTCTGTCATAAATCCTAAGTACAGCTCAAAGCATGGTTGATCTCATATTACTCTCATTACTACGTACTAGCAAAGGGACGAGAGAGAGGGAGGAGGTGAGGGGGGGGGGGAGAGAGATCTCTTGATTCTTGACCGAATGCCAGTGTCACATTTACAGATTAGTGAGAATCGCAGTGCGGAAAGCCATTCATCAAAGACATCTCACTAATCCATTCGGGGGAAAATTGCAGACAGCAGTTACCCCGTTTCCCCCCCCCCCCCCCTCGTCTCCCGCTTGTTCCATTATTAGCATCGCTTAGCGCTATTGCATGACTCTTAAGCGTTTTACCAATAAAATCCGCTTGGGAACCGTTAAGCTGTTATGTAGCAAATTGATTACATCTTTATTTATTTACGGATTAGGGATGATACCCTATCACATGTTAAATGATCATTCCCCCCCCCCCCCCCCTTATTCCTTATCCCCCTTCTGTTAATTTAGAAAAAACTTATTTGTCATACTGTGCTATGCGAACAACAACAGATTATGTAGTTTATTTTTATCGATCGAATCAATCCTCTCAATGCCGGATATATAATTGGGTTTTTTTATGTAGTCCAACAAGTACAGAGAGAAGAGATAATTGGTTGTTATAACGATTTTTTTAGTGACAATAATATACCTATCTGTAAACGTTCATCATCAGTCCTAATGGGACAGTTTCATTCATTTGAGGTTCGTTTATTTTGAGTGCTCGGTTTGGTAGAGAGGATTTTTGTTCACTTTTCTAAGCAATATTTATGCTTCTAATTATTGTTTTTTTGTAGAATACTCTAGACCTGTTGAATAATGTGTTTGTATCCTTATTCCTTTCGTTTTAAGATTCCCAAGTCTGGCAGTACTTATACTGCATGAAATCCATTTTTTGGGTTCAATTTTTCAATCAACAGTTATACATTGAAATATATTATTTTTCTTTGTAGAATGCTCCAGACTGATTGAATCATTTTGTTTATAGTTACATTGCACTTTGTATTTCTTTTTTTTTCTTTTTTTTTGAGGTTCCCAATTTTGGCAGTACTTATAATCTTCCTACATGAGTTCCAATTTTTTGATTTTCAAAAATGATTCTTAACAAAAGAGAATTTGAATAGACACATTACAGTTATAGTAATCGACAAAAGCTAGTCTCAAAAGAAGTTTGATAGTTTTTCGTCGCGAAGCGGACGCGACGCGGCAATAGAGATCTATCATCGCTGGAGCAGCTTGATATGCCCGCCATATTAGAGCTCGATTGCCTCCCGAGTGACGCGTTTGCGTGAGTTCACCTTTTCGGGCATCCACCTTCGTTCGGGAACAGCCTTTAGCAATCACTGTATTGTCTTATTTTATTGGCAACCATCTACTGGTTCGAAGTGCTTCCTTTACCTTTTCGTTCTTGAATTTTGTGCTAAATAGCATGAGTTTGACCCATCTAATTTCTAGAAACGTTTTTTTTTCGGTGGTTTGTGTGAGCTTTTACGCCTTAGATTTAGCTCTTCTCAACCAGTGTGCGTATAATTGGAACCATAAACTTGCTAAATTTTCTCTTGCATTCTTCAGCTTCAGTCATTTGTATCTAACTCAATGTGAGCGTCTGCACGCTATGCGCGGCAACCGACGACACTTTTACTAGTAACTTTTTAGTAAAACCTTTCTAGCGTAACAAATTGTGAAGATGTATACTACTACTAACGAACAAGATAAAATCAAACCAGAGACAAGAAAACCAAGATTTGTTAATCTTACAAGCCGTGAAATAGCGCGCACCTTGTGCTATACGCATATTTTACAAATGATCTGACAATACATTTTCTGTGCTATATGTGAAGCCCCACCTGACGATATTGGCCCATAAAGCCGAAATATGTATTTTTTCGCATGGCCTACGTCACTATAAAAGGTCACATTTTGAATCAAGGCAACACTAGCTTAGATTGAGAAGTGCAGAAAAAGTTCAACGCTTCCGTTTCAAAATCCGCTTTCGATTTTTCCTTGATTTGGCATCTCTGTTCATCTACTTTGAGATAAGCCGAATAAACTCTATGTGTTATAATCATTTTTTCAACGACTCTTCATCCGATTTCGTTGCTAAAATTCTTTTTTAACAAATTTGTAGCGATCATGAAGACAATGGAATTTGCAGGAGAAATTTCAAACAATTCCAGAAAAGTTGTTCTTTCATAATTTACTAAAAAATGAAAGTATGTTATGAGTTTTCGAAGCATTAATAACGCTTCTTTGACGACGCGAAACTTAGATAGCTGTGAGATTCTTGTGACGGCATGTTTTTGGAGGAAATGGAAAACGGCCAGGGCGATGAAAGGCATGAGCTAAAACTCTTAGAAATTCCATCGAAGTTCATACTGGATTTTTCCAAAACTCCGTTGGAACTCACAATGAATTTTCCATTTTTTTTCTCATCATGAGTAACCTGTTTATGATGAAAGTGATGTCTGTTTGTGTGTACCCTTTTATTCGGGATTGGCGGCTGGAAGCATGAGGCGTAATCAAGGCTAGAGAATGGTTGAAAAACGCTCTTGCGAGAGAGACGCAGATAGTGTCGCGGGTGCGAGCGGTCCACCCGCCAATCCCGATGAGCCAAATTGTATGCGTGTCTATCCGTCCATTGTACGTATGTTCCGCTTTCAAGAGAAATTCTCAAAACGAGCTGGACCAGATTTGGCACACATACCTTCGGCGCGGGGCGGGTGTTGTATGCTATTTTTTGCTATTGATCGATATCGATTTATCAATTTTCTGCAAAGTTTCACCTACGAGGCTAGGGGTTGGCACAGAGGGATAGCTGCGAATGCCGGGTACGAATACAATAATGGTTTCCAAGACTATCGACTGATTCTATCGATTTTATCGATTTTTTGCAAAGTTTGAGCTACGCGGTTGGGAGTTGTGGGTTAGTGAACATGTTGATTACGGAAAAATTATTGACAGGGCCAGGAGGCGCCTGGTTTGCCAGCTATTGAATGATATGTTCATCTTCGCAAAATTAATGCGTATGAGATTCTGTAAATAAAAGATTTCTGCCTTTTTTCAAAATGGTGCATAAGTTCTGAAAACAAGCCTGTTTTTTATTGCAGTGAAGTCACGAAATCGTCCATATCACTATAGGCCAGTGGCGTACCCAGGATTTCGGCTCGGGGGGGGGCGCGGCAAAAATTTTTTTCAAATGAAGGTGCGTGGCGCCAGCCACGCACTCCGAAAAATTTTTAGGGGGGCTTCTAAAAATTTTTGCGGGCCCCCAACCCCTAAAATCTGGAAAAAGGGGGCGTGGCGTCAGCCACGCCCCCGAAAAAAAACTTTTTATAAAGCTAATTTGAATTTTTAAAAAATTTTAAAAATTATTTTAATTGTTTACAAAAATAAACAAGTCATTTGCACATTTTTATAACTCATGTAAGTAACTTTCAAAAATTTCGCGACCCGTTCTCGGGGGGGGCGCGCGCCCCCCCCCCCGCCCCCCCCCCTCGGTACGCCACTGCTATAGGCTAAACGCGCGCGAGCGTGCCTGCGACGCGGCTACCGAGTGCGGGCATTGTGTGAGCTCATGCGTGCGAATGCCGATGTTAGCCTGTAAGAGAAGCGCTCGCAGGCGTTCAACTTAGGACTTCGTGCTTTTCTGTGCAGTCAATTATCGTAGCTCATCTTCTCTGTTTATGCTTCACTCCTGATTATTCAACTGAACCTCGTTTTTGAAGATTTCACCTCGGCAATCCTCGTCTACGTAATTTCCTCATTTTCATTCATTTTTCTATGCATCTGGATACGAATTAAATGTCGAAATAGCGATTTTGTCATCGAGCCACTTAAACTGATGAGTGTCACGTTAATCGACTTTAGACACAACGCATCAGTGCTTAGCCGACTATCCGTTTGACGTCGTCGTGCGCGAAAATCCTCAGGCTCATCCTCGTCGTGGCATAGAGGGGCAGCTCGTTTCTACAAAAACACTCACTCTCATCACACTCGCAATGTGCCATCTATCAGTGTTCGAATTGTCCGTGGCTGAATAAGAGAGAGACAGGTTCGGGTTTTCTTTTCTTTGTTTCGAGTTTTGAATTTTCTTCGAGTTAGCCTTCACCTAAAAAAACATATCTCATCTCTACTTGAATAAGATACTATGTATCCCTGCGACAATGGGTAAAGGGCTACATGTATCTGAAAGGAGGTGTTCCCACGCGGACATCTGCGAGAAATCACGTAGCTCCACACATCACATGGACTACAGATTTGTACCAGCTGTCCGGGAGGGGTGGAGCCTATTGGCGACATATAGTCCCCTACCCTTGCGACAATAATTTGTTGACAATTTGTGTTTTTCATATCTTACATAGAGCTAATGAGATTGCTATGCATTTCAGTTCGAAAACACCATGGTAACGCTATCGCAAGAGGTAAGTCTGCTTTTTCTATTGGTTTATATTATGTGTAGGCTTCAAAAAAGTTTACTGCTTTCTTAGTCTTAAGTATTAGGTTGTTACATAAATTTTTTACACCTTCTTTGCCTTGTTCCGAAAAATTTGGAAAATTCGACATTTAGCAGATGCGGGAAAGAGATGAAAGGCTACCCACTGATATCATTTTTGCCTTTACGAACTCTGATAAAGTAAACATAATTGCAATTCTTTAACATCACCACAGCCTTCAATTTTTCTTGATTTTTTGAAAATCCTCTCATTCTTCTTTTTCAACTTTTAGATTTTCTATGGAAACTTAAGGCATTCGTAGTAACTCAAAGATAGTTTGGAAATTTAAATTTTTCAAAAACTCAAGTTGGAAATTTACCACAAGTAGTTCGAAAATTTTTGAAAAATTTCAAAAATTGTATTTTCATATGTGAAATGCATATATCGAAAACCCACAATTTTCTTCATAATTCAAAAATCAAGAAAAAATCTTTGAATAAGTTGTGAAAGTTTTTTTTCTGCAAAATGTAACCAAACTCAAGTAGCAACCTATTTGATATTTTTTACCGTGCGGTAATAAAATTTGGATTATTTGGAGAGATTTGAGCTCTTCCATTTTTCGGCTCAAATTTTTTGTGTTATACTCCAATTAACAAAAACAATTCTTTAGAATGCCTTTACTTAGCTTATTACACGAGACCAACACTTAGGCCCTTGTTCTGAAAGTTTCTGAGTTTTTTCTTGATATCTAGAAATTTTTCAGATATGCGGGAAGGCTGTTCAGTATAGGAAATAGAAGAAAATTCTTTTGACTTTAGAAAATTGCCGCAAATTCTGTGTTTTCAGCACTTGCTGTCACTAATTCAAAAATTCCTCTCTTGTAGAAAAACTCTTTGCAGCAAATATTTTTCCTTTCTCACTATACTAAAATAGTGAATGCTCTTCAGTCATTTGGAAAAATTTTCTAATTTTTTTTGCTAGATAGGTCTTGAATAACCGACTAAGCAGGCAGGACATTACATCATAGGTCTTCAAATATTTTCTACTACTTTGAAATTAAAACAGCTGTCTAGCCAAACAAACATGCTCAACATCCTTCTTATCAGGCAAAAAATCTTCTTAAGAACAAGTTTAGCCATGCTTTTCACAGCTTGAACGTGATAATCGTGAAGAATTTCAAAAATATTTTTCTCTATTTTGGCTTGGATTATGCTTTCATCGGCCAAGCGACCACAACGGGGCGAATTCGATGAGATTTCGAATCCTTTTCATAAAAAAGTTTCAAAAGCCTATCAGTGCGGCTTAGGCTAGAAAACAAGTTCCATATGCACGACACGAAGCGAACTGTTGAAGTTTGAAGGAAGTTTTCTGGTGGCCAACACAATTTTTTGGAACGTTTCTCGATAATGTACTTACTTACAATCATTCCGCAAAAAAATTTTTTCTCATGTTTAGAAATTTTGACTCTTTTGGATTTTCCGAGTAAACAGAACCTACAATTCTATAGAAAATATTAAAAAAAATGAAATAGTACTCTGGACTACACAAATCCGCCTCACATACTTAAAACTTGCAAGGGCACGGGCAGCAGTATTTGAAAATACAAGAAAATATCCTTATAAGATTTGAGGCGCAGTATACTGGGAAGACCGACGGAGGGAGGGGGGGGGGGGGGAGAATGGCAGTGAAAAAGATATGGCAAATATTTTGGAACATTTTGATTTTTGGGGTGGTTCAGTGTTAATTACTTCCCATTAGTTAGGTTGACAGAACAAAACTTATTGTAACTGTTTTCAATCTAACAATAAGGTAAACGGAATAGTTCTTTACTCCTCCCCTCCCCCCTCCCTTCAAACCTCTCTTTCGTTCCTCCCACTACTAAAAATTTGGAAAAATGCAAGTTCAATTATCACATTTTGAATCATCATCACTATATGAGGTCGTAGCATGATTGTGATGCTTTTCTCATTTCCCTCTAAAAACTCTAGATACTTTGGCAAAGTCTAATATTAGCACATACAGTCTGCCCCAATCCTAACCAGGCCAAATTGGCTTGGCGGGAGTGCGCGTCGCGAGGGTTTCGCGCCACTTCTGCGTCTAGCTAGTCTGCTCTCTCCTCAATCTCTTCGCTCTCTGCGACAGCGCGCGTATGCAGCGCAAATCCCTTGCGCGGGTAGAGGACTATATGTCGCCGAAAAAGGGCGGTCCCCGCGGTCATTTGCGACAAATACGCATCCTTGTACATGCGCGGACATGCGTTCCTACAGGGAATCCGCGCGGGACTCCTCCAAATTCGGCGACATATAGTTCTCCACCCCCTAGCACTGCGAGCGCGCAAATTCAGCCGGCGATTCGGCCTGATCCCGATCGGGACAGACTGTATGAGCAACAAACAAAGGACTTTCTATTCGCATCATTTTCTCCTTTACAGATATTGATTACAGTGAGTTCAAAGAATTCAGCGAAAGCACTCACTCTCCATACATTTCGTTTTATTTCAAGAATTCCCTCATTCTTTTATGCTTTAAGATTTTCCATGGATTTCCGGGGACATTGATACTAAAAAAGACAGTTGGGAAGTCTAGGCTCTTCAATAACACAAGTTGGAAATTTGCCATTAATCTTAGAAACCTTTGAGAATTCAAAAACCGGGTGTCTCATGTATGACATATGTATATCGAAATACAACTCTCCATTCGATTTGGAAATGAGAAAAAATCTTTTGAGAGGTTCACGAAAGCTTCTTCCTTCAACGGTAACAAAACTGTAAAAAAAGCTGTAACAAACTAATGAAACTATTAGTTTTCGACGAAATGTAAGAACAACAATTTCAAATCCTATTATTGAGCATTTCAAAAATAATGATTCCAAAATAGTTCTAAATGAAGTGTGCTGCACAATGAATTTCTTGGAAAAAATGTGAATATGGTTAAAGTCGGCTGCACGAAATCGCCCGAGTCGCTGTAAGCTGAACGCACGTGAGCGTGCCTGCAGTGCGACTGCCGAGTACGGCCACTATGATGACTCATGCGCGCGAATGCCAATGTTAGCCTGCAGGAGACACGCTCGCGGGCGTTCAGACCGGGCGATTCCGTGCAGTCAACTATATCTTCGAAAAAAAGCTTATACACAATTTTTTGCCTTCAGTTGGTCTCCGTCGGAGTGATGGTGATCGTTTGTGCTTCGCTGTCCGTTCTATGTGTAGCCGTATGGTTGGTCCGATGTAGACGAGACCAAGGGCGAGAAAAAGAAGAACGAGATCGACAAAGAGATCTCGACAATTATAATGAGTGAGCCTTGCGCAGCGTCTTTTGAGTCATTAGAAGACAGCTTTTCCAGTAAACAAGTCAACAAATCGTTTTCAAAGCGAGCCGTTGCCGATAAAGTGATCGAACCGCCCAAAAGGGCCGAAAGTGTACACAGTAATAGGTCTATCAGATCTAGAGACGGTAGTGTAAAGGAGCCCATATCGCTGTCTAATTCGACAACGACTACTGATGAGACTATAGGGCAGGTGCGGATCGTTCTATAGAATTTTGAAAGCTATATTGGTTCTCTTGTTCATTTGAAATGTTTTAGTGTGACTCGAGAGCGGCGCAGGCATATGTGTCAAGGCCTCTCGAACGAATAAAGGAAGAGTCAACTCCAATTAGAAATGTATGTTCACTCTGATGCCATCTACAGGGCTTATCAGTTGAAGTGTCAGGTGCACCTGCATCTTCACTCCCGCGTTAAACTCTGCGTCTCTTCCACAAAACATGATCTCTAATCACTTGCAATCGATTGAGGCTCCGCCTTTCCCACGCTCGCCATGGAAAAGTGATCAGAGAGCATGTTCCGCGAAAGAAACGCAGAGTCCAGTGCGAGGATGGAGATGTTGGTGCACCCGACACTGCATTTGATAAGCTGTACCTAGACAGAGGACGTTATGCCGTCAATGGGCTTCACCTGCGCGGAGTGGTACAAATCATGCATCTCAAAAAATGATGGCTTGTACCAGTTGCACAGGCGGACTTCATCGATGACTCAGTGTCTACCTATCCATCTGTACATATTTCAACTCGATAAAACAAGTATTTTGTAGCATTTCAAAACAAAAAGAAATGTAGTCCTTCTGGCCGTAGCAGAGAACTTTTTTGTCAGCGATAGAAAGAATTGGAAAGCGGGCGTTAATCGCAAAAAAATATTTTGAAAGCTAATCTTTTGAGACCTGTATCGACAGTTACTTCTTAATAGTTGAATAAAATAATCTGCGTGGGCCCATGTCCGTCTTAGATTTCCAGCGAGTTTTCTTGCAGCCCCAAGACTCATGGTCAGTACAGAAAGTTAAAGGCAGCGTCCAGGCAGATTTCGACCTATGGGAATTTTACCCGGAAAGTACTTTTGGGCCTTAACCAAGGCGCTGCTCAAGCGGCAGCGCAGCTAGTGCTCTAACGGCTGAGATATTCCCCTCGAAACTGAACCCCGCGATCATATTCGCATGGATTCATGGCATTTTCGCGCCGAGACATACGCTTTGCGCCATGAATCCATGCGAAATACGATCGCGGGGTGTCCAGTTTCGAGGGGAATGTCTCAGCCGCTAGAGCACTATCTGAGCTATCGGTTGGCAGTGGCTTAGTTAGGGCCCCAAAATTACTATCCACGTGAGATTCCCATGTATCCAGACTTGCCTGGACGACGCCTTTAAGACAACAATCTCTCATGTTCTGGCCTCCATCGCGTACTACAGTAAGCATAAAAGAGCCTTAAAAGCATAATAAGATTATTTTCGTACTTAGCATGTCTAACCCCTATGGGCTTGAGTTTTCAAATACTGGGCCTACATGTGAGATGGTCATTTTTGAACACGTTAACTTTGTTTCAAAGATGAATTAACTACTTGTTTCTGCACACAATGCAAGGAACTACAACTTTCTGGCTCGCATTGAAATCATACTTCAAATGAACCCAACTACGGAATTTAGAGCAAACTTCGCTTTTAATGTCTTAGACTAGAAAAGACCAATTGTGCTCAAATCTCTTTCACGAAAGTTACATGTTAGGCTATAAAATATGTTTATGCTCGCCGCCTTCCCTCGCCATTCAGGTAGTAGCGAAAAATGAAATTGTTACCGTAATCCAATATTCTCGCAGCATTTGCATAGGTGAGGAAAAGCGACTACAGATTTCCCTAGGAGAAACAATTGAATTGAATGAAATTCCTGCTCATTTAAGAAGAAGATTTAACCGTAGCAGCGATACATTTACGCACATATACTAATGGTCTGAAGTTAAAGTTATTGAAGTATGAAGTTATTGAGGTGGGCGCAGCTACAGCATTTTTGGAATTGTGCCACACCACATTAACTTACCTCCAAAAACAATTCTATAGCAAAAATCTTGCATTATTGTAGAAGTGATTAGAGCTGAATTTGTCTTCTTTCGTTTGCGCAATCGTTCCTGAAGCACAATCACTGCAACTCAAAATGAGACAAACGAGGTTTTGGCTGGCTCCTACTTCCACAGCTTGATGATTAAGGATTCATAACATTTTCGAAATTGATAGTTTTGGAAATTTTCAGAAACGTCTGGAAACGGTTTCCATCACTGCTTCCTTCGAAACTCTACAAAGAAATGACTCTAAGGTCAGCTACAATTATTCTGTCTCGTAAAATAAAAAATTCAATGATCGCAGTTTAGGTGAACGTGTTTCCCGCTGATAAATTGGAAGAAATTGACCTTAATCCCGGTCTCAATACTAGCGTTATAAATTTAGATACGATATGATTTCTACCTCTACAGCCATGTCACAATCCACGCTATGTCTCAACATCTTGCTCGAATCTTCTGTTATTTACATTTTTATTTCAATGCAAATGACTGTCGTAATTTTGAAATTCGAACTTTACGGATTTCGCCTTGTTATGTTTATCCCTGTGATCTCATTGTGTTTCATTGTACTATATTCTTCTTCTATTTGGAGTTTTCGAGATTTATAAACGATTTCCAATTAATTCAATAATTTTGCGATTACAAGCACTGAAAATGACATAACTCAAAGGCAGCGTCCAGGCAAATCTGGACTTTGAGGCTCTCACGTGGATAGTAATTTTGGAGCCCCAACTAAGCAAGTGCGCAACCGCCAGCTCAGGTAGTGCATTAACGGCTGAGATATTAGCCTCAAAGCCGGACCCCGGGATCGTATTTCGCCTGGATTCATGGCGCAACCCATCAATTTCGCGCGAGGATCCGTGGTGTTCGTAACTCGAAGCGGCACGATGTAGATTTGTAGTACACGAATGTCTCGAATATGCTTTATTGCTCGCAGGTAGAGATTACAAGAACCAGAGAACATAAGTTGCCTGAGAAGATTACCTTCGGGCTCTTCGTCGGGATAGGCCTTACCGTCCCCTTTGAACTCCCGGCTCCCCCTTAAGAGCCCTGCGGCTCTCTCAAAACATAATTCACAGATAAGCCGTAATGTTTATAAACTACGATGAGACACGCAGTACCGTGTTCTCATTCATTGAAATCATGATCGCGAGAGTCATGACACGTGGCTTGCGCCATGAATGCATGCCAAATACAGGGTGGGGCAAAAGTCTGGGAGCCAACATTGCAGTGTTGTAAATCACGAAACTATGACGATTTTGATTCCAAGTGTATGCCAAATAATGCTGCGCTGCGATCATTCTCTACAAAACACACTTTACATAGCTGAAAATGCTTGCCTATGTGCTTGTAAGAATTGGTTTTATCAAACTAGTGCTTCTGCAGAGCGAGAAAATCAAAATTTTGAATATTCACAATTTACTTCGTAGTTAAAGGTACTGTGAATATTCTAAAACGATCTGGTGCATGCAATGTAGAGGAGGCATTGGCTATGACATCGTAATAATTGCATTTAACAGAAGCTATTCTTTCAAAAACGCAATTAAAAATATGCGAATATTACCTGCGTGCAAGTGGCCATTTGTCTCTAGACTGAAATTCTAAAGCTATAAGAGAGCAGCAGGTACTAAATTTTAGGCTATATACTTTATAAGAGTCTTCTGTATAAGCACTTACTTAAATTCGATCGATAGAGCAATTTCAATTTTAAACTATGATATTTCGCTCCCGTTCGCGCAATCGCATCCAAATTTTCAGTATGCGGGCACAAATGCCTTCATTCAAAATTACAAAATTTTTCCCCTAAGTATTGCAAAAAAATTTCTCCTTAGTATGTTATAGTCCAAAGTTTGCTCTATCGTACTGTACATTTGTCTAGTGAAAGAAGCTATCAAAAGGTGTGGGACGAATTCCATCACGACTGCCTGCGTGTCACGACAGGTGGACTCGCCGAGATTTTCAAGGGTTGCTTCGAAACCGAAAAAGGCAATCCTAAAATTTGAGAGCTGCACTGTATTTGTAAAGGCTAGAATTATGTATGCATCAAACTATTTGTTTCTAGGTACTTTCCTTCTAATTTTATCTGAAAAAGTGCTAGGCTCCCAGATTTTTGCCCCACCCTGTACGATCCCATGGTCCAGTTTCGAGGCTAATATCTCAGCCGTTAGTGTACTATCTAAGCTGCCGGTTTGGCAGAGCTTAGTTAGGCCCCAAAAGTACGATCCGCGTGAGAGTCGCCATGTCTAGATTTGCCTGGACGCTGCCTTTAAGAGTCAAAATTCAATTGACGTTTCACAAGGATTGCAAATACATATAGCTGTTAATGTCTATCTCCACCTTTTTCCAGGATGCGAATGACATGTGCATATCGTCCACCCATCTCTACTGTTTACAGCCAGATCCTATACATATTTACTGGGAAGCTTACGTGAAAAATTCCAAATGATAGAGTCTCTAGAGCATGCGCCGAGAAAGAATATTTCAATATATACTATTTTAAGGAAGTCGGAAACGAGAGCAAAGCCGAGCTGAAAAGCTTATAGGGCTCAAGGTTGTGAAATTTTACTGCACTCATATCTTATTTGTCCAACGCGGCATTTTACTTTTTCTTCTTTTTCTTTCCATTTGGGTCCTGAGTTAAACTGAAAATTGCAAAAAAGCAAGAACATGAAGGACTTTGAAACTAATAAGGGAAGGATGATCGGTCGAAGTGGCCATTTGGAATGAGCTTATATTAGGAAACCGTCTTCGGTAAGGCAAACTCAAAACTACTTTTGCTAGTTGCCGAGCGGCTTTGTGGGGGGGGGGGGGGGGGAGTACAAGGCCATTTTTCTCCAGCGCAGCCGGCTCACCCAGTAATGAGCGAGGCACTAAAACCATGCAGCGTGGCGCAGTGGCAAGATAGCGAGGTACGAAGCAGATGGTCGAGGGTCGAGTCCTGTTGCTGCTATTTTGTTTTGAAATTCTGTAGAAAGTCTATCGGGTGACAGTAAACGAAGAATACTCGTTTCTACGCAGTTGAAACAAGTTATTTACTGCAAAAAAGCCACTATTTCCACAATAAGCTATAATCTTCTACAATATGTAAATCTGTGGAGGTTATGATGTCACAACAACGGATTTCAATGTTATATTAACACGTATGGAATACAACCACAAATTGCTCAAAGCAGAAGAGCTTCTCGCAGCGCGCACATCGGATAAAATTAAAACGATGACAATCAGGTGGTCCTGCCTTGATGATAATGAATTGCTGATTGCAATCGATTGCATTTTTGCAAGTGCGCGCGCTGCGAGAAGCTCTTCTGCTTCAAACATTTTGTAGTTGTATTTCATACATGTTAATATATCATTTGAATCAATTGTTGTGACATCATAACCTCCACAGATTTACATATTGTAGAAGATTATAGCTTATTGTAGAAACAGTGGCTTTTTTGCAGTAAACAACTTGTTTCAACAGCGTAGAAACGAGTATTCTACGTTTACTGTCACCCGATAGACTTTCTACAGAATTTCAAAACAAAATAGCAGCAACAGGACTCGACCCTCGACCATCTGCTTCGTGCCTCGCTATCTTGCCACTGCGCCACTGCTGCATGGTTTCAGTGCCTCGCTCATTACTGGGTGAGCCGGCTGCGCTGGAGAAAAATGGCCTTGTACTCCCCCCACAAAGCCGCTCGGCAACTAGCGAAAGTAGTTTTGAGTTTGCCTTACCGAGAATGGTTTTCTAATGTACAGCTCATTCCAAATAACCACTTCGACCGATCATCCTTCCCTTGTAAGCTTATGTAGCTCAGAGGACATAAGAAGAAAAAAGAGAAGAAAGAGCATACTTTCCATGACGGTGCATCTTTATGTCCATATGACTGACTTGAATCTCATGTCCCATACACCTCAAATTTGTGATCAAATGGGAAAGTCTTTATTCACCTCATATAACTAGATAATCGGATGAAATGAAAATTTGATGGGTTCCACGCAGAGAGCAGATTGTTTGTGTGTGAGAAGTTCCACCGTGTGAAGATCGAAGTATTGCACTGGGCGTGTATGTGTCCGCACATAATCTTGTGGAATTTCTACGCGAATCATGCGAAATTTGCGGCACCGCTAAACAGCAATTGTGTCATCATATAAACTTGGCACTTCGACATTCTTTTGGAAATCTGAATGTTCATAAGTAAAGAGAAAAGAAGCTGTACCGTGTCATTCATGCAACGATGGTAGATCTTGAGATATGGATTAATCCTGCTAAACTCCTTCGCCTTGCCTTTGATTGTAAAAAAACCATGGATGTTCGTTAGGTTTACAGCTAGATTTCGGTTGTTAACTGCAACTGTAGTTCAAATCACGCTCAACAATGCGGTTCTAATTCGAACTCACTTTTTTTATCCCACAGCTCTATGCGCGCAGCAGTGGGTTGACTCCTACAAAGAAGTGTCCCCATTGCTCCAATTTTCCACTCTTCGTCGAGAAGAATACAATAGCATGATTGCAAAAGGCACATCAATATTAGCATTCTGCAATTGTATCTTTATAAATCATATAATAAACATTGGTTCAATAATATCGATGATGTTCACGTAAATCTAATAAGTAGTCAAAAACAAGTTCATTAACACTAACAAGTTGGTAACAATGTATTACTACTACTCAGACAAATCACCGAAACTTCCGCAGGACAAGCCAAATTTGCAGAAGTTCCGCAGGACTTTCTTTACTATTGCAAAAATGAAAACGTTGAAAATCGGAACTTCCGCGGGATTTCCATGCCAAACTGGTTGAAAACGGAACTTCCGGACCTTCTTCAATTTCTGCGGAAATTCCGAAAAATGCCAGAGAAACATATATCTGTGAGATAATGTGAGACATATCTCACTAATCAAACTTGTTTACTATTTGCATGGAACAGCACTTTGCTACTGCATGTTGCTCTCTACCACGGGAGGCTAGTTTTGATGGGAAATATTACCACGATATTTCAAAGCTCCTAAGATCAAATGTTCTTTAGAACATTCGCTGATGGCTTCTACGATTAAGCTGGGAAATAAAGTCCTGAAACCATTGAAAATATTTCACCATTCTCAAACTTTTGAAATTCGTAGCAGAATATCATATTTCTCTCGTAGCTAAAAATCAAAAAAAAAGATGAGATGCTGTGCGCAAAGCAATGTTGGCCTGTTCCCACATAAGTATTAGGTTGTCCAGAAATTAATGACCATTCTTGCGCGACCTCGGCACCGAAGATTTACAAATGTGGAAACATATTATCCAATAGAGCAAAGCGAGCTCTACAAGATGGCATCATCCACTCAGTTTCAAAAACGTTTGATCCGCATGTAACTGAAAGCAAAGTCTGAAAAAATACGTCACCATATGCTGTCCAGATTAGACGTTCAGATGTACACTTGCTGCAATATTTTAAGACTGAAAACTAAGAAATAAAACTTGTCAAGTAAAACGCTAGTTCTTTCGGATTTTCTACGCTAAATTCGATATTTCTTGTAAACAAGCACATGCAGGCGGGAAATTCTATGATTGCACTTCTAAAGATTTATAGTATAGAATTATCTTTACAGCATCACATATTGCATTTGCAACTTCACTGTAGGTTTTAAATACAGCAGCTGTACATACGGAAGTCTGATGCGGACAGTATAGTGGACTTAGTTCAGTTTCCGAGAAGCGTTTTGGTGTTTTAGGCGGTTTGATTTTGGTATATTAATTTTTTCACATTCTGCTTTCGAACTTTTCTGGATATACTTTTTGCGGTTGTCTGGATGCAATCTTACAAAACTTTCTTTCCTCTATCGAATAATAAGCTTTTTTTAAATTTTATAGCCACTCTTCCCGATCGCGCAAGTTAATTTCTGAACAACCTAGTAACAGGTTTATGAAACCGTTGCATGATTATTTAAAAATCATAACTTCTTGCTTTTTCAAAGGTTTTGCACAAACTCAAATTTGCTAGATGAAAAAAATCCTTTTCTTTGTGATAATCTGCTATTCTCTATAAGACGAAGCTTTTGAGATGGAAGCACGAGAATAAAATTACTTCACCTGCGGTCATTTGGACTTAGCCTATAGTCTAAAACTTGCAATCTGGGCAAACAATATAGTAAGTCTTTTGATTTACAGTGCAAAGGCTGCGTTAAACTGAAGGGTTATAATTTTTGGGTAAGCAATACAAAACAGCAAACTTGATTTTTTGGCATTTTTTCGCAAATCATAACTCATCACAGAAATGCTCATTCAGCACAAATTTTGCACTTGGAGACTGTGAATTAAAGACTCATTATACAGCTTGCTCGAAATTTATCGCAAATTTCAGATTTTTAGCAGCCTAACTCAAAATGACCGATGTTGGAGTGTTTTAATCTCCTGCTTCCATCTCAAAAGCTACCGCGAGAGCAGCAGAGGGGTTAAAGAAAATAAAGGGTTTCTTCTATAAGGCCAAAATGAGTTTGTGCAAATCCGTTGAAAGAGCAAGAAGTTTTGATTTCTCCAAATTATGCGCCAGAACTTTTGCATCAACTTGATATTATCGTTTATTTGCGAGCATAACTAAAAATTTTCAGTTGGGTCAAAGCACTATTCTTCCAAGAATCATGAAATGTGACTTAAAAAGGAGATATCTTCGTGTTTTTACTTCAATTTGTCTTTCGTATACTAAGTACAGGAAGAGACTGTTCTTGTAGATATTTGATTAGGAGAGTAAACACGTGAATGAACGAGTCGGGAGGGGGGGGGGGGAGAATTTCTAGGCGAAAATTCGATTGTTGGATATATAAAGCTTTTTTTATTGACTTCAAACTTCTCATAAGAATCTCTGCGCAGGTGCTCTGATTTCCTTTTGTTGCGCTTGCTTTGCTCCAATGAATAATTCTTGCAACAATCTAGAGGGTGCCATTAGCATTAGAAGCAATGTCCAGGCAAATCTGGACCTATGAAGCTTTTACGTGGAGAGTAATTTTGGAGCCCTAAGTACAGGGTGTCCCAAAAGTCTTGTAGCGTAATTTTGCACTGCTTCAACTCAACAATCAATGGTGATATTGATTTCAAATTTATACCACAGAATCCTCCAATCATTCTTCGTAAACTATAATACATCCTTGGGGGTGAAAAATGATCTTCATGTTTGACTGAAAAGAAAATTATCAAACCATTTCTATCTCAAAACGCAAAAAGCTAATTTCTAAAGTTTGAAATTTATTCCGCTACTGCAAAAATTTGGTACACCGCGGTGCAAATTTATATCCACATTATAGAGGAGGCTTTGCACTACTACCACTATAATGGCTGCATTTAAAAATCTATTTTGTCAGGAGAGGCGAGGAAATACCTGGAAATTTTCAATGCGTGCCACTGCAACTATGCCTTTGAAATTAGATTCGAATCTGTAGAATCGCAGCAGTCTCTGAATTTGGAGTAATATCCTCTTCGCATGCTTTCTAGATGGAATCTAATGCAACATGGTTGACGTACTTGGTTTTGAAACACATTGTAGCCGATTTTCTGTTTTCATTTTCCTCAAATGTGTCCGAAACTCCACCATGAGATCTACACGTGCCTACATTCAAATTTCCGTAATTTTAACCATAAAACTCACAAATTTTCTAATCATGGTAAGATTAGCTGAAAGCTTGCTCTATCATGCAGCACATTTTCTAAGCGATAGATTTATTTTCACGAAAAATTGGGACAAAATTAATGATGACTACCTGCTGCCTCGGCAGTGGTAATCGCCAACAGTTTGAAGGCGTCCGTTATCAAGGAAAGATGCTACCACGAAATTCGAATGCTGTGATGTATTTGCTACTTTTTGAATAATATGTACACCAGATTTTATATCCTTATGTTGTTCCGTTCTGTATTTATCATAAAAAATAAATACTAGGCTACAAGACTTTTGGGACACCCTGTAAGACACTGCCCAAGCGGCAGCACAAGCGACTCATTAACGGCTGAGATATACGCCTCCAAACCGGACCCTAGGATCGTACTTAGCATGGATTCATGACGCAATCCATCAGTTTCGCGCGAGGATTCACGCGAAACGATGGGTTGCGCCATGAATCCATGCGAAATACGATCCTGGAGTTCAGCTTCAAGTGATTATCTCAGCCGTCAGAGCACTACCTGAGCTACCGGTTGGGAATTGGCTCAATTAGGAACCCAAAATTACCTTCCACGTAAAATCTCCATAGCTCTAGGTTTGCCTGGACGCTCCCTCTAATTTAAATGCTTCAGGTCAAAAATATACTCAATTCAGGGAAACCTGTGAAAATTGAAAGCATGAATGGGAAGGCATATCCAACTGATGTTTACTAAAAATGTTCCCAGGTGATCGTTAATATCTGTTTTGTGCTAATGTCTTTTGGCAGTCTTCATGTGGTATATTGTTTAGAGCTGCCTTCAACTTACATTCACGGTAAAGAGCAAGTTAACACATCTTTGAGCATTAGTGTAGGATTGCGGGAGAAAATTTGAAGTTTATTACAGATAATAAACCTTGCTGCAAAAATTCCGTATGCACGTACATCACTGCAGGGAAGGGGAGGGGATTCGAGAGGGGAGTGTGGTATTGTTACTTCACATAGTCATTCTTCTTTTTCTATTCATGCTATGAAGATTTTCATACCCTGACGACTGAATAGTGAATGACAGACGATACCCACACAAGCTGATTTCTATTGTTTTGTATGATATCCCAAAACATCACCCCTTATTTTCGAAACTGCGCATCTTTCCCGGAAATCATAAAGAATTACTGAGTGTACCACAACATTGCTAGAAAAGTTTTCGACAAGACAAATGGATTATGCAGGTTGAGAATTTTTGGATAGACAAAGGAAAACAGTCTTTCTGATGCTCTGACATGGCACAACGTCAAAACAAAATTTTTTTGTGAGATTGGATAAAATGCAACAAAACCGTAGGAGAAACGAAAGTGCGCCGGTAAAGAACGCGCCTCAACGGCTCTTTATGTGAGGAACTTCAATATAATCGCAATATATTTTGATTTTCAAGATAGGAACGGTAATTTTATTGATGTGTTGGCGAAATTGGCGTCCGAAAGTATGGCTGAACTATGGGAAAGAGATCAGGGTTTCCAAACATCAAATCGAAGCGTTGGCGACCATCAATAAAGTTGAAAAAGAAGCAATAATCCCATGAAACATTCCGTAACGCCACGGCGATAAAATTCTGAAAAGCACAAAAGCGTCCGCTCAAAAAAGAAAACTGGGCTTTTTTCCTTCAACGCACTTTCACATAGTCTCACTGTTCTTCGCAGAATCAAGCTTCTGTCCGAACTCGAGGTGGGAAAGTGCCAATCCACTGCCAAAGCAAGAAATTGCGCCATATTCTTTACCTACTATTATATCAAACTTTCAAAGGAATGCAAATGAGGAGGCGTTGAAACAAAATATTTGACTTTCTTTTAATTAAAAAGTTTTTGTCTTACGCAGGTGTTGTTCTTTGGCAACCTGCATATGCGTCGGCGACGTCTCTTGTTCCAAAAGCTTAAAAAAAAATTTGTAA